CCTGCGCATGACGCTGATCAAGCTTACGAACAGTGCACGGCATCCCGCGTGGGCGAAGCGTGGGCAGTCGTGGCCGAGAAGTTTGCCAAACAAGTTCCCTCCGCAGCTGTCCTCGTTAAACGTGCCAGGAAGGCGCGCGCCGTGCCCGCATCATCTTCATCGTGCCCGAGAGGTTGGTTTCGAATCGAAGCGTCTGATGTTGGTAAGGGGCGGTTGGCGTTTTGTTGGGCAAGTCTTGTATCTGCGGTGGGCCTCGTATTTGAGCTCCAAGGGCTTCCAATCGGCGGCGTGCTCTCCGGGGTTGGCCCCAGTGCGCTCTTGGGGGCTCAGGAGTTCCAGTCAGGCTTGAATCCAGACCGCATCGCGCGTTTGTGTTTCCAGAGAATGCGCAATGGTAAGTTCCATATTGGGTTGCCCATTTTCGTCGATGACGTTATTGCGCTGAGTCCATCCTAGTGTCAATCGCGTGTGGCATTGTTTACACGTACTACATAGTCGGTATCGTTGTCCCTAGCATCGGACCCGTCCTTGGAGTGTTCAGAGGTTACGTGGCTAGATCCTTGTATTCAGAGTCCAGGTGGTACTTTTAGTTGGGCGCCCAAGAATCCGGATCGTGAATGACTTTTTGATGTTTCCAAACGGCGTGAACCGAGTGCCATCATTCCGTGGCCAGGTGTTTTCCCGAGGGCCTTTGGGATGCTATGCAGGCGTCCTGGCAGGGCGCCTGGCTCGCTCTCGCATGATGCGTCTTTCCCCGTCGTTAGCAGCAGTATGGATTCTGGAGGTTGCGTTGGGCATTTTTTTTTTTTGCTCACGGGATATCCCCTACCTCTTCTTCGCGCTTTTATCTTCCGCCTACCGTGGTCTATTGCGGCTCGAAAGGTTCGATTTCATTTTCTGCGGTGGCAGCGACTTCGCAGCGCTCCCGACATGGGGCGAGGGCGCTCGCCTGGCCGCGCTGGCTCGTGGGACGAGCGGCCGCCTCTCGAGCGCGACTGCAGCAAGGGGAAGGGCAAAGGCAAAGGTTGGCAGCTTGGCCCATATTCGGGGCCATGGAGTGGCAGTTCGTCGCGCTGGTCCCCCCCCTCGTGGCATCCCTTCGCCAGCGAGGACGAGGCCAAGGAGTGTCGCGTGGATTCTCTTCGCCGCCAGCTCGCAGCAGCTGATCCAGAGCATGCGCAGATGGTCGAGGAGCGTGAGCAGGCAGCTAAGGAGCGTGACCTACGCGCGCAGGGACAAGACCTTGCAGCCGCCTTCCAGTCCTCTTTCACGGAGCGCCTCAAGGGTCTGCAGACGATGCAGATGAGCACGGGGCACTTTGCCCCCGCAGTTGGCACGCCGCGCGAAGCTGCAGACCGTGATGGTGGGGGTGGCGTTCGTGGCCGCTCTGATGGCGCTGGCCAGAGAGGCGTTGAGTTCCGGCGCTGTTGTGGGGCCAGCGAGTTTCTTTCAAGGTCGGAGTGCGGCTGGCTCCAGTTGATCCTAGGCAATGAGTTCAAGGTCAAATCATCGGACAGCAGAGAAATACTGATCAATGCCGTGTTAAAGTCCCTCAAGAAGAAGAACGTCGTTGGGAACGTGAACAAGGCATTCAAGAGTGCTGGTGTCAAAGTGCCAGACGAGCCGCAGAGCAAGGCAGACATGCTCCTCTCGATCATCAAAGACGAGGGCATCTGATCTCATGATATTCAGGAGCGTGCTGAGTGTGTTTGTGTCCTTTGGGGAGTTACTATGCTGGTTCTCAAAATATTAAGCGTACTTTGTGCAGTGGTCATCTTCGTGGTGATCATGATGGGGGGTGACTAGCATTGGGCTACAGATTTCAATGCCTCCGACGCTGGGTCGCGACAGATACGATGACGTCTTTCATGCGTGGTGGGCGTTGAGGGTTTCACATGCAGCAGAGGCGATGCTGTTGCAGAACTTTCTAGGTGCGACAGGTAGGTGTTCCTCTGTCAGTATACAGTTACGGCGACCGCCGATTCATTGCCGAGTCTGTGAAGAAGGTGTCGTCGTCGGCAGTCTTCTATATTGGGAGTTGGCTGGCGAGGTGAGTGCTACTGGATGAAGCGCGCGTGACCTGGTGTAGTCGCCCAGTGCGCGTGTTGATCAGGCTCTCTCTCTCTCTCTCTCTCTCTCTCTCTCTCTCTCTCTCTCGCTCTCTCTCTTTCCCGCCCATTAATTGCTGAGCCCTGTCTCTCCGATTCCTGCTGCAGCCATCTTTAGCTTCGCGCTCTCCTGGCGCCCAGGCCGCGCTCATATCACCAAGGAGTGGCGGACGGTAGCGCAGGCGCGCTGCCGCTCATGCGATGCGGGTAGACCTCTCTCTCTCTCTCTCTCTCTCTCTCTCTCTCTCTCTTTTTTTTTTTTTTTCTCTCTCTCTCTCTCTCTCTCTCTATTTCCTCTCTCTCTCTCTCTCTTTCTCTCTCTCTCGCTCTCTCTCTCTCTCTCTCTCTCTCTCTCTCTCTCTCTCTCTCTCTCTCTCTCTCTCTCTCTCTCTCTCTCTCTCTCTCTCTCTCTCTCTCTCTCTCTCTCTCTCTCTCTCTCTCTCTCTCTCTCTCTCTCTCTCTCTCTCTCTCTCTCTCTCTCTCTCTCTCTCTCTCTCTCCTCTCTCTCTCTCTCTCTGCTCGGCTGGTTTTGTGGCGATGCGAGCGCGGCGCGCTAGAGGGTTCATTAACTAAACATGGCCGCGAGGACTGCTGTGGTCCAATATATGTATTTTTCTTGGTGTTCTCCAGCACCTTCCTCTCCCCCTCTCCCTTTCCCTTTCTCCTCGCCCCTTTCTCCTCCTTCCTTTCATTCCTTCCCTCTCTCTGCATTGCTTTCCGAGCCACCTCCGTCCCTGCAGTCATTCTTTCACCTTCTGGCGCCTGATTGTGCATCTCTTGCCCTCTGGCCCCGTTGATGCTTTCATGCGGTTCAGCCTTCCCGCCTCTCCTCATCTCCTTGTCAAGTTCATTTTCTTTCTTCTGTTATCCTTGGCCTCAGTTGTGTGATTGTTGTTGCCGCCGGTTGCGCCTTCGACATCTTTTCCAAGACTGCCGTGGAACCCGCCGTCCAGGAAAAATCTGCACTGCGAGAGGTATGAGGCTCACTGGGGTTACACAAGCGACCCACACCCAACAAATATCACAACAAAGCCAGCGAAACCAAAACAACATAACAAACCAACCAAATCCTGACAGGCGAACAGGGGGCGCTTGGCCACCAAGAGGGCGAGCAATTTCCTGGGCCAACCCGAGATCCGCAAGGGCAAACTGCAGGTTGCGCGGGCCGCTGTCGCCCCACTCAGGAACATATACTCCCGCGGAAGCTCGCAGCAAGACGGAGCAAGACGGAGAGCGATAACCCCCGGCCGTCGCAATGATGCCTGCTAGCCGGAAGCATCACCACCTAAACACAACATCGGCAAACGCACGCACACACACACACACTCACACACGCAACACATTCTTATTATGCCCCGTCCGACTTCCCTATCCAGGAGGCGCATCAGCGCGCGCTACAGGAACTTCCACGCCCAGAAGGCCGGGGGCGACGCGTTGCAGTCGTCGCGCGACGAGCGTCGCAAGAAACACGAGGCCGCGCTCCCAAGACAAATTGCTATAGCTTGGAACTTCCATTCCTTCTGAACGAACGCGAGCAATCGACTTTATTAACGCGGCCGCGTCAGGCGGCGCAGAAGACGTTCGTCAAGGCCCGCGCCGAGAGCAACAATTGGACGCGAGGCTTTTGCGAATTAGCCAAAAAGCTGCGCGTTTTGAGGAAGAGGAGAGGCGTGGCCTGAGCGGTCCTGCCAAAACTGGCGCTTCTTGCGACCTTCCTTCAAACGCTAGTCAAAAGTATCTGAGCGTGAACCGCGCTCGGCGGGCGACGGCAGCGCCGTCCTAATGCGCGCGAGGACGTTTAGACAATGAACGCCTCCTCAGTGAATATAAGGGCGCTCGAGAACTGAATGCCCCCTGAAGGTGATCCAACGACGGCGACGACGACTACATCTGTGAGAAAGCATTGACAATGAATGCTTACCCCCGCGCAGATGCCAGAGGGAATGTAGTCAACCAAGATGTATTTCTGCTTTGTTTGCATATCAAGTACCTCAATATGTTTTGTGCAAGTCGGTTAGGTCTGCTGAGTTTTCTACGAACCGATGCAGGAGGTCGGATCTTTCCCGAAACGCGCCCCCGCTGGGGGCCTTGCAAAGAAAGACAAGCCGGCGCTCCAGCCCAGTCGCGCAAGAGAGGCGCGCGAAGGCGCGCATAGCGACGGTAATTGCGTTTCTTGTTGCCGGCGGCACCTCCCTATTGTTTGTGTTACGTGTCGGTGAAGTATCTAGATGCAGGGGGTTGGATCTTCCTCAAAACGCGCTTCCACTGGGGGCTTTGCCGATGCGCCTTGCATATGTTGCCGGCGGGTGCGTCGATCCTCCTGTGGCACAAGGTTTAGCCCAAATGTTTCGTTTCGCGCGCCCGCGTTCTTGCATTGCTGGCCAGGGGCTCGAGAAAACAAACATTACTGAGAAGCTGCCAGAGAGAAAGCAAACGTACTTATTGAAAGAGCAGCGGCAACTATGAGTGGCGGCGCGATCTATTTCAACGGGGAAAAGCTTGTACCTCCAGGCCCGCTCGCGCTATCTTTAAAAGAAAGGAAGAAGTCGCTCGCGAAGCATTTTGAATCAGGTGCGTTGTCATGCGACTCTGCTGCAACGTACGACGCCGTGGTTACTAAACGGCATATGTCTGGCAATCGTGCGCGGAACAGTTTTGTTATTCATGAGAAGAAGGAGCTGGCGTTCAAGATATAACAGGATGAGGGCGTGTGTGTGGGGGGGGGGGGGGGGGACTCCGTGTATTGATGTTTTTTTTTTTTTTGTGGAATTAGAGGCGGTGCACCATGCCAGGGCGCATTCGCAGGAAGGGCGTGATGACGTGCGTGAGAGAGTTCCAATGTTGGTTCTGTACTACAAAAGATGACGTGTTGGTTTCGTTTGGTGAAGAATGCAGATAATTCAAGTGACGCCTGTTGATTACTTGGCGCGCGACACGCGCAGCCGACGCAGAATTCAATATATTGTTGCCAGTTGTGTTCGTATCGAACGCGACTTCGCGTCGGCATGCATCTTCTAACTGTGCGCAGTCGTGCTGCGATTTATATTTGCGCTGTCGCACCACTTGCATAGCGAATTGCATTAATTCGGGAACTGGAACGTATGCACTACCAGTGGCGGGTTGTTTTTCAATCGCAGGATTTCTTGAGGGTCGAGGACGACGCTTGGGTGGTGTGGTGTGTGTGCTTTCCCCGGTGTCCCGGGGAAACAACGAAACATGTATACACCAGAGTCCTGTATACACCGGGGTCCGTTCTCCAGAGCAAATTCGGATGCAGGGCCGGAAGAAACGTCGGTGTATAGAGTTCGGTTCCTTAACGATCATAGACATGGTGTGTCTCTGGGTCGATATCAACAATAAGGTTCTTGCAGGAAGTCTTGCGTGGACGATGACAACAGGATTGATTAGGAAACGAAATAAAACATGTTTTTTTTGTGATTCTCGCAAGGAATTATTTTGCAACTTCCCCCCAACAGAGATATTATCGCAATCCTGCGCAATAGGAGTGTCGCTCACATCGCCCACCAGAGAATTCCACTGATATTTCTGAAATCGAATATTTTTTGATTTGCTTAGAAAGGAAACCCATTGGAATCGTCAACAAAAAACCCATTGACTTTTCCACAAGCAAAATCCTTGTTGTAATCCGTCACAAGAGTTAATCTGCCGCAGTCGCCCACGAAAGGAATCCTATTGAATCCGCCTCGCTATTAATTCTACTGTAATCTTCCGCGTGAGGAATCCTATTGCGACCCTTCACAAAAGGAGTCCTCGTGTAATGCGCCAAAAAACCAGACTGAATCCTCTACACATGGATTCCTGTTGTGGCGGCCAGGGGAAGTGAGCCCCCCCCTCCTTCGCACGCCACGAACAAAAAACAGTAGTTTTGTCATTTTTTCCCCGCCCCCGCCCCCCGAACAAAAACCAAAACAACACAAGACATGTATGGTTGCCTTTTTTTCTCCGCCCCCCGCCTCCCGAACAAAAAAGGAAGAAACCATAACAACAAACACATGCTTTGTTCATCTTCCTCGGGGCTCCTCACTTTTCCTGGCCGTCACAAGGATTTCTTTTGTGGCGAATTACATTGGGATTTTTTGTGGATCGTTACAAGTCGATCCCTTTAGTTCTGGATTACGACGGAAAAATTCATGCAACAAGCAAAAACAAGCAATAACACACTACCATACAGAGAAACGAGAGAAACAATTCGGGAATGTTTGGAAGCGGAGTCGCCTTATTGGAGGCGTTTTGGGCCGTCTTGGAGGCCTCTTGGGGGCCTATTTGGCCGTTTTCGGTCATCTTGAGGCCATCGTGGGCCCCCTTGGAGGCTTCTTTGGTGGACTTTGAGGCATCCTGGGACCCTCTTGGACCGTTCCGGATGCCACGTCGGACGATCTTGGACACTTGGAGGCCATCTTGCCCGTCTTGGAGGCCACCGAGGCCATTTTGGAAACGTTTTTGGCGCAGCGGGCGGGCCATTCTGGGTGGTCATCGGCGCGCTGGGTCGGAGCCCCAGGGGGAGTTGCTTATTTTGTTCGTTTCGTTGTTTTTTTTTTGGTGTTTTGTTTTTCCTTGTAAGAGCAATGGAAAACCGATGCTAAGCCAGTAGGGTCTAGCACGCCATGTACCCATGTGGCAAGACCACAGGGGGCGGCGGATCGACGACGCCCACGGCGAACCACCGCCGCCCCCTAGCCCTTTTTTGAAACGCCTATGTGGCCGACTTTTGGGATAGAGATTGGCTAAGATATCGGGCCATGTGATCCCCGAGTCGGTTTGGAAAACCATCGGGGACCACTTGGGGGAGGAAGAGGGAGATGAGGAGAGGGAGGAAGAAGCAGGAGGGAGGAGGAAGCCTCTTGGGAGCCTCTTGGGGTACTCTTGTGCTCTTGGGGCTTTCTGGGGGCTTCCTGGGAAGTTGGCCAAGCTATCGAACCATGTGTGCCCCGAATTGGTGCTCAAAACCGTCAGGGAACACGCGGAGGAAGATGAGACTGAGGAGAAGGAGGGGTTCGTTTGTCCGTCTTGGCGGCAATATTGAATGTCTTGGAGGCCTCTTGGACCGTCTTGAACCCCCCTTGGGGGAGTGAACTCTTTGGAGATGACAGTTTTCGCGGGTGGTCTGGAAATATTTCAAGACATGTCTAGCGAATGACGAGGAGGTGGACCAGGAAACACAACATAAGGAGGATCATGAGGACATGCGACGACGAAGGAGGGACAACAAGGAAGATGCCTCCTGCCTTATACAGGTTCGGGTCATAATTTAGACACAGTAAGCGTTTGGCGAACGTTTGGCCAGGTTATGCGACCAGTCATGCCCCAAACCATTGCCAAAGCTCTTCGGTGAACACGTGGGGGACGAGGAGAAGGATACGGAGAGGGAGGAACATGGCGGAGGACAACAATGAGAATTGGGAACATAGTGGGTCATTCTGGGAGTCTCCTGGTAGCTCTGGGGGCACTTGGGGCCTCTTGTGAGCTTTTCGTGGGCCTCTTGGATTCCTATTGGGGGGATCCTTGGGTCTCCTGTGGGCCTTTGGGGTGTCTTGATTGCCTTTTTGACCGTCTTCGGACGTTCCTCCCAAGACGCCGTCAGACGCCGTCTTGGGAGCCTCTCTGAACGGTCTTGGGACCGCCTGGGAGCGTTTGAGGGCCGCCTTGGAGGCCATCTTGGGCGTCTTGGTGGCCTCTTAGACCATCTTGGAGCCCTCTTGGGGCCGTCTTGGGGACCCCTTGGGTCGTCATGGGGCCGTCTTGGAGACCGTGCGTGCAATCTTGAGACGATCTCGGGGCCTCTTGGGCCGTATTGGGCCGTGGGATGGCCGATAAAAAAAAAACACCCCCCCCACACACTTTCAAACACGTCAGGCAAGCATATGAGTTTGGCTTCTTCGGACCCTCCCAGAGGACCTGTGACTTTAAGGGTCGCTCTTTGGGAGATGTTACAGCATCGGGAGCATAGCTCGCGCGCCGCTGCCTTGGGCTCAAGGCACGCGCGCCCTATTTGCCCGGACACCGCGAGTGTTCGCTATGTGCTGGAAAGATCACTACATCGATCTTATCCTATCTTACCCATCCACCCCTCATACTGTACCTTCACAGCAGAGCGATGGATGCAATTTGCCAGGCTATATGCCCCATTTGAGTTACCAGGCTCACTTTCGACTTGGTAGCGGAGCTGGCCGCACTCTCGTGTGGTCAGCTCTTGCTCTTCTTAGCCTCATATTCTTCGGCACGATCTTCGTGACCACCTACCACCCTGCGCCACCACTCCCAGTACGTTTACGAGGATCTATTCAAGAGCAAGAAGCAACACGAGAGGTACGACGTCTAGACGACCAAACTGGTACCATATACGCTTCATCATTGCGTTACTACCAACCGCTCGGCAACGAGCTAACAGCGCAATACTTGAAGCAAGGGCGGGGAGACCCGCCAGACAGAGCGCCTCGAAGACTCGACAAGGCGCTATCCCAGCGCGACAACGCGCATCATAATCGTCCTTCGTTACACATTCTCGGGCTAATCGTTTTCGCTATCATATGGTTCGCGCTGGGGGCAACAATCGGACACATGCGTCGTGGAGATAACAGCACCGATGGGCAAACACATGGCCCATATTGGGACCCTCAAGGTAATGTACCTTTTCGTGAGTACATCTACGAGGTCAACGCATGGCTCAACGTTACAAGCGGACGTATGACGCCACAGGCCCAAGCGGCCGCAATACAACGCGGCCTAGGTGGCCTAGCGAGGACACTCGCCATGAGGGTACCGCCTGACATTATAAACTATGGTGCTGACATCGATGGGGTCCACACAGACCCAGTGACCTACATCATGTTCCTCCTAAGCATGAAGTTCGAACGCCTGGAAGATGAGCGACAGCTCACTTCCGGCACACAACTCATCGACTTCCACGTGCCTCACGGGGAACGAATCGATGTCACCCTTGCCCGATTCGAAATGGCCCGACTTGAGGCGCAGTCGGTGGGACTCGACCTTCCCAACTTCCAATTGCTAACCACTATCCTATTCCGCGCCCTAGGCGTCGGCAACCAGCGAGCCATGCAACTCTTACAGCCACTCAATCACCAAATGCCCCGAACACAACAACAGTATGATGAGTTGCTGGAGAGGATGCGTTCGATAGGCCACCTATCCGAACGGTCTCCTGGTAACATAGGATCTGTGTTTGGAAGGGGAAGGGGATCTGGTAGTGGAAATTTCTACACTACCTTGACTACTGAAGCCCAGCCTGGAAACGGGCCCTCAAGCATATGGGCCGATGACCCAGGTGAATCCACTGCGTTATTAGCAGGGGATCGATCACAACCAAGCTGGGCAACCAGCCCTCCTTCTAGAGAACCACAACCACACCGCTCGTTATGGGGGGAATCAAATCCCCTAACCGACGGTGTATCCACCTATCTAGGAGACGAAGATTTCGACTCCGGCACCGATGCAGACACTATATCATCAGATGGTGTTGAAGCTCTAGATTGGTCAGATATCATGAATATGGATAACGACAATCAGCGTGCTGAGCATTTATTCTGGTTGTTACAACAGGCTAGACGAAGGTGGAGGAGGTTCGCACGAAAACCAGTGCGTCGTGTTAGAAGGAGGATACGCAGAAGTTTTAAAGGAAAGGGTAAAGGCAAGCGTGGTCGTCGGAGGTTGAACGGGCGAGGTGTCGCGGCATTTCTCCAGAGGCTCTCAGATGAACAACATGATGAGATATTCTTTGGGGGAAAAGGCCGTGGTAAAGGCCGTAGAGAGACCTCAGGTAAAGGTAAAGGAAGGCGGGGAAACCCGCGAGGTAGAGACGGCCAGGTTCTCAAATGCCATGAATGTGGTAGTTCCGATCATCTTGTGCGAGATTGTCCAGCGAAGGGAAATGGAAAGGGCATGTCGTCCGAAGTCCATTTTGGCTCAAGTGCACCATCCATTGAATATCTGAGCTTCCAGGACTTTGAGGCTATGGAACAGATATGTTTCACTTGGGTTGTTGGCGTGGACAACGTCGACGAGCTCGAGGGGTATGGTCATGGATTGTACGCGTACTACCTCGAGTACGTCCGCCGGTTCGTCACGGGCAGTAACGAACTCACTCCCGTGGAACACGGTACGCTTGGAAACGAGT